CTCTTGCCCATGCTGCTGCCCTTCTTACCTCCGCTCATCAGGTAGTCCCTGAAGAATGGGACGCGAAACCACAGGGAGAGCATCATCAGGTGCGGGGTGATGCCCGGGAAGAGGGTGGAAAAACCTGATGCCTCTGTGCAGAAATTGAGAAAAGCTCCTGTTGCCAGGACCCCGTGGGGATGAAATCCCACCAGGTAGTTCTGCCTCGGGTCCAGCTCCGCCGTCTTCACCAGCTGGACACAGGGATGGAGCCAAAAATGAGGCCATGAGTTAGTGCTGTCACCTTGAAGGGGTGGAGCATTGGCTATGGGCAGCAGCTAGAAAATTTCTGAATGAGATTCCCTAACATCCACCATGCCACCTGTTTGAAAAGGTCAACTGGAACTACACAAGCATTTTTCTCCTGAGATGTATTTCGTTGCTTGTGTTTCCACCTCCTCCCACCCAGTGGCCCAAAACAACATTTCCAACGGCACAGTTCCTCATGTTGCCTTGAGCTGTCTGAGAGGCTGCTGGGAACCTACTTTTGTTTAAAACACCCTCCAATACATTTTCTAATATGGTGGGAAAAAAGCTAAAACGTGCTGGAGCGAGTGCAGAGGAGGGCAACGAAGCTGGTGAGAGGCCTGGAGAATAAATCTGATGAAGAATGATTGAAGGAGCTGGGGCTGTTGAGTTTGAGGAGGAGGAGGCTGAGGGGAGCCCTCATCCCTCTCTGCAACTGCCTGACAGGACGTTGTGGAGAGGTTGGGGCTGGTCTTTTCTCACGGGTAATCAGTGATGGAACAAGAGGGAATGGATTCAAACTGCAACAGGGCAGGGTAGACTGGACAGTAGGAAAAAATTTTTTTCACAGGAAGATTAGTCAGCCATTGGCACAGGCTGCCCAGGGAGGGGATGCAGTCCCCACCTCTGGAGGGGTTTGAAGGTCATTGAGATGTGGGGTTGGGGGAGATGGTTTAGGGGTGAGCTCTGTAGAGTAGGGTCAGTGGTTGGACTTAATGAACCCAGAGGTATTTTTCAACCTAAGTCATCCTGGGATTCTATGAAAAATGGTGAATTTTTCTACCACCCTCTCCACTCCATAACCAGAACAACAAAGGGAGTGCAGAAACACTCTGTTAATGATCCAATGAAAACTGCTACTGGAAGCAGGGACATATCACTACTCAACAACATGGTGTGGATCCGAGGTTTGTCTTGCCCTGAATCATGGAATGATGGAATTGTTTCAGCTGGAAAGGACCTTTAAGATCATTGAGTTCAACCATTTACCGAGCACTTCCAGGGCCACCACTAAACTGTGTCTCTGAACACCCCATCTACATGGCTTATAAATCCCTCCAGCAAAGGTGACTTCACTACTTTCCTGGAGAGCCTGTTGACAACCCTTTAGGTGAAGAAACAGAATAACAGAATGTTCGGGGTTGGAAGGAACCTCAAAAGATCACCTAGATGGGGAACACCCATGTCCAACCTTTAGAGGTGGACAGCATGGACTGCGGACACAGCACAGCACACGGCCAGCCCTTGAGGATTGACTGAGCAGTGAGATTTAATGCTTGGCCAGCCTGAAAGTAGGTTTGGAGCCTGGGAGGTACTCCATGGGAGAACACACACCAAGCAGAAGAGGAGATGATTAAAGGGAGATAAAGGACAACCAGGATTTGTGAGTTACGCTTGCTCCCGTGGGCTGCTCACGGGAGATGGCTGGTGTGACAAACCTCCAGCTATGCCACCGAGAAGGCCCTGCCGTGTCAGCATCAGCCAGCACATGTAAAACCCAGGGAGAAGCAGTCAAAAGTGAATGCTGATGCCTCTGCACCCTTTCAGTGGGTGTAGAGGATGCTTAGAGCACCAGGAAAGGATGAACCTTTCCAGGGTTAGCCGTCGAAAAGCCACCATGAATTTCCAGGTGGCTCAAAGGCTTTTGTCCTATAAATATCTAATATCTGTATCTAATATAAATAATTAATATCTATAAACATCTAATATCTATAAACATCTAATCCCTATAAATATCTAATCACAGTATCACAGTATGCTAGGGATTGGAAGGGACTTCAAAAGATCATCTAGTCCAATCCCCCTGCCAGAGCAGGAACAAATAACTAATATCTATAAATATCCAATATCTATAAATATCTAATATCTATAAATATCTAAAGGGTGGGTTCAAGGAGGATCGAGCCAGACTCTTTTCAGTGGTGCCCAGTGACAGGACAAGGGGCAAGAGGCACAACCTGGAACACAAGACATTCCATCTAACCATGAGGAGGAACTTCTGTCCTGCGAGGGTGACAGAGCCCTGGCACAGGCTGCCCAGAGAAGTTGTGGAGCCTCCGTCGCTGGAGACTTTCAAAACCCACCTGGACGTGTTCCTGTGAGATCTACTCAAGGTGATGCTGCTCTGGCAGGGAGATTGGACTAGATAATCTCTAGAGGTCCCTTCCAACGCTGATGATTCTGTGTTCAAGAGGAACCCAAGCCCTGTGTGTTTTAGCACATCACCCCTCTGAGAACCCCAGTCCCACCAGCCCTCGGGGAGCAGCTAATGGTGCGTGTGTTTTCCTAGAAACAGCCAGAATCAGTTAATCACGAGGGTGCATTTCACTTTCTTACATCACGGCTAATTTCCCCTCTGTTGACTGTACACATGTGCCCATTCAAGCGCCTGCTCCTAATGAGGGGAACGAACAAACAGAAGTCCCGCCGCCGCGCGGGTGCAAAGGTGTCTGGGCAGGAAGAGGGGCAGATGGCTGAATTACTAAGTGCCCAGGGCCTCTGTCACCATTTGCTCATTTTTTGAGTCATCTCGGCTTGCATCAATGTTTCCTGCATTCATCTTCGGTTTCCAAACAGCTTTTCATCTCCACGTGATTTGTAAGCAGGGAGGCGAGATGCTTGAGTGTGTTGGAAAATAGGAAATTTCCAGCTGTGTGTGCTCAGGGTGGCAAGAAGGAGGGGGAGTTGCAGCAGGCTCAACACCTGGTTGCTCCCCAAGATCACGCCACCCTCCTTGCCCATGAAGAGATGAACTCCAGCTGTCCACTGAGCTCTGCAAACTCCTCCAATGGGAGAATTCACCTATACTGAGACACCAGACATCCTAAAAACCATCCAGCTGCTGCTTTGGTGCTCATCCCAATGAACGAGGAGAGAAAAGAATGAAGAACAGGGCCTGAAGTGACAGGACAAGGGGTGGTGGTTTTAAACTAAAAGAGGGTTGATTCAGACAAGATATAAGGAAGAAATATTTTGCAATGAGTGTGCTGAAACTCTGGCACAGGTTGCCCAGAGAGGTTGTAGCTGCCTCATCCCTGGAAACACTCGAAGCCAGGTTGGATGAAGCTTTCAGCAACCTGATGTAGTTGAAGATGTCCCTGCTCACTGCAGGAGGATTGGAAATAGATGACTGTTAAAGGCCCCTCGCAACCCAAACCATTCCGTGATTCTGTGATAAGAAGTGAGGGAAGAGAGAGGTTATGCCCCCTTGCAAGGGACTGGACACCCACCAATCAGCAATCTTTCCAGCTCTCTTTTTATATTTTCTCTTAATGTTTTCTGCTGAGATCACCTAGTGATTTATTTTCAGGCAATGCACTTTTCGTCTTGCTTTCCATTACCATATTCTCAAGCTTGATCATGATCTGTATATCTGACTCTATGAATCCTGTGCATCCAACTGACAGGAACCTCATGAAGTTCAATGAGGGAAAGGACAAAGTCTTGCACCTGGGGAGGATCAACTCCGAGCTTCAATACATGCTGGGGGCCACCCAACTGGAAAACAGTTGGCAGGAAACGATCTCAGGGTCCTGGTGAACACCAGGCTGAACATGAGCCAGCAATGGGACCTTGCAGCAAAGAAAGTGAATGGTACCCTCAGATATGAGGTCAGCAGGCAGAGGGAGGTCATTCTTGCCCTCTGCTCAGCTCTGATGAGGCCACACCTGAAGTGCTGCATCCAGTTCTGGGCTCCTCAGTACAACAGAGATGTGGACACACCGGAAAGAGTCCAGCAAAGGGTCTCAAAGATGATGAAAGGACTGGAACATCTCTGCTACGAGGAAAAGCTGAGAGAGCTGCGACTGTTCAGCCTGGAGAAGAGAAGGGTTGGGGGGATCTCATCTCACCTGAAGGCTCTTCCGGCAGTGCCCAATGACAGGACCAGAGGCTCTGGGCACAGGCAGAAACACAGGACGGTCCCTCTAACATCATGAAACACTTGTTTACTGTGAGATTGACGGAGCACTGGCACAGGTTGGCCAGAGAGACTGGGGAGACTCCATCCTTTGAGGCAATCAGAAACCATCTGGGCATGGTCATAGAATGAATCATAGAATATGTTGGGCTGGAAGAGACCTTTAAAGGTTGTCTAGTCCTGGGAAACTGGCTCTGAGTTGTCCTACTTGAGCTGAAGAGTTGGGCCAAATGAGCTCTGGAGATCCCCTCCAACCTCAAGCAGTCTGTGATTGTGTGATTTTTGACTCCCTGCCCTAAGGGAGCAGGATGCTGCTCTTTGGGCAGCTGGAGGGTAGGAGATTAATTGCTCAAGAGTTGCTGGATCTGGTTAGTGTTTCTGCAAGACCCGTCACTGACCACTTCTTAGTGACTTAGTTGAATTACTTGCCTCTTTAAGCTTTCTAGACTGGTGCTCTTCCAGGGCATAAGCGAAGAAGGGGGGAGAGATCCCTGTTTTGTCCCAGTGCTTGCTCGCATTTGGATGATTGGCCAGAACTTACAGAGAAACCAAAGAGCTTGTAACAAGACTTAGAAGGAAATCTGTAGCAGAGCAGAGATTTGGGCAAAGTGTCTAACACTGTAGGTCAAGCCCCTGGACTCTAGACCACTCTTCTTCTTCTGGAAACTCTTTAATGAAGAAACTGGATCCTCCCATCTGGCTTGTTCCCACTGTCCATTCACTTTTTCCCTCTGCTCCCGCCAGAGGTCAATCTCTGTTCCCAAACTGAGAGGAAAGTTAATTCCTGACACCGCACAGCCCAGCTCTCCTGCATTCAGCACTGAAGTGTTTAACGAGGCTGGGGTTGAGGTGCAGAGGGAGTGGGAGTCTCCTCCCTCCTGCCTTGGCCAGGTTGTCATTTCCACTTCCACCAGACGACATTTGCTGCTCTGGTCTTTCTGGAACAGTTGAACTTTGAACAATTGCCAAAGGACTTGAGGGTCTGGCCAAGCTGGTCTGTGTGTAAACATCTGAGACAAGTGCTCAACG